TTAAAAAAATAAGAAGAAATAAGAATAAAGCAAGTCGCAGAGGAATACTTACACTATGATACCATCACAAAAAGCTGCAAAAGTAAAAAATTTATTTTTAGGAATACGTATATGTTGGCAAAAGTATAAAGAAAAGCAAGGAAATTATTCACATAAAATTTAGGAAAGTGATTACCTCAGAGGAAAGGCAAAAGAAAGATTCAGTCAAACAGGGCCTCTGAAGAGGTTTTTAAGACATTATAAATCTATTTTCAGTTAAGCTGGTTAGCAAGTACAGCAATTTGGTATTCTTTAAATTGTGGATTTAGGCTGGGCACAGTGGCTCATGCCTGTAATCTTAGCAACTCTGGGAAGCCGAGGCGGGTGGAATGATTAAGCTCCTAAGTTCAAGACCAGCCTGAGCCTGAGCAAAAGCAAGACCCTGTCTCTACTAAAAATAGAAAATCTGAGGCAAGAGGATTGCTTGAGCCCAAGAGTTTGAGGTTGTTGTGAGCTATGATGCCATAGGACTCTCCAGGGTGACAGCTTGAGACTCTGTCTCAAAAAAATAAAAAAAATAATAATAATAATAAATTGTGGATTTACATTATATATACTTTTATAAATATGGCATATTTCACAACTTAAAAGAAGATATAAACAGGGTTGAAGAATCAGAATTTTTCTGACTTTCCACTTATTGGCTGTGTAACCTTAAACAAGTCATTTAATCTCTCACAACATAGTTTTTCTTATTTTACAGATGAGATGCTAACAGTTAATATCTGTTTAGTACTTCTCTTTTCTTTTCTTTTTCCTTTTTTTTTTTCGCAGTTTTTGGCCAGGGGTGAGTTTGAACCCACCACCACTGTCAAATGGGGCCAGCACCCTACTCCATTAAGCCACAGGCGTCACCCTGTTTAGTACTTTTCTTGGCAGTTAAAGAACTGTTTAAAAGTTCCTAGACTATAACCATCCAAATATGCAGCAGAAACATGTAAATATACAGATAAACTATGAGATCATAATAATACAAAATAATATCTCCTCAATAAATAATAGCATACCATAATAATAATTCATTGGTAGGACACACAAGGCAATTCACTACCCTAGCTTCTTCCTATATCTCTAATAATAATGGCAACAACCATTATTTTTCCAATGTGTACTTCATAACATGCTATGGTAACTGCTTCCCACAGATTATTTTAATTCTCAAAACAACCCAATGAGATTACTTCTATTATCCCCACTTTACAGATGAGCCCATGGTCACATAACTAGTAGTAAATAGCAGATAGATTTCAGAAACCCATACTCATAACCACTGTGTTCCTTTTGCTTCATTCTTTTCACTATATTAAATTTTCTATCTCTCTCATGGCACTGAAAGCTCCTTGACAACTGCTTTTGGATTATTTTTTATTTCCCCTGGCACTTAGCAGGCATTAAATAAATAAATAATGAATAGATTTTTTTCATATATGCACAGTGTTTTCAGGACATGAACCAGTTTGTTCCCCTTGACAGCTCTGTAAAGTACGAAAGGTTTTTGGTTTTTTAGTTTTTCAGGGTTTTTTTTTCCTTCCATTTAACTAAAATATAAGCATATGATTCAGTGGCATTAAGTACATTCATACTGTTGTGTAACTATTACCACTAAGTATGAAAGGTTTTAATGACTTTACTGAAATCACTCATCTTTCAAATGGTGGAACTAATATTTTAAGCCTGGACTCTATTCATTCTACCAAGGCAGTCATCTGTCTACCAGTATCTCCATCTGCTCTCTTCTTCTCACCAGGTATCTGGAGGACCAAATGAGGTGAAGATACTCATTACTACTGCACATGTGATCAAAGCTGTGGGCAAAGAAAAAAAACATCCACCAATACATTTCTCTCAGGTGATTACTTTTCATTTTGAGCCTTCAAAAGCTGGGGTTTTAATATAAACATCCTATCTCCAGACCAAGCCTGCAGAGCCACAAAAACAATGTCTGGACCCCAGAGTAAAGTTATAAGGAGAAATGCTTGCATTAGTTAGATTACACTCTCATTGAATTACAGGTAACTGCTCAAACCTGATTTTTATTGTAATACAGAAAGCTTCCTCATAACAAAAGACTCTCAATTCAAAGGATAAATCCACCTTTCCATCATTCTGCCCATTTTGAAACTATCAAAAAAAAATTCTAAATGGGTTTTTTTATGTGCTCAGTTGGGAAAGCCAAAGAAAATAGTTTGTTTGCAAGTTGAACTCTAAAGCTTGAACAAAGGCTTGGCGCCTGTGGCTCAAG